TTGCCTGACAGTTACTGCATGTGGTTATAGCTTTTAAATTAAGACCCTTCAGATTTATGATCCTTTAAATTAAGTTGGGCTCCTTTCTCTAGCATATTTAACAGATTTGGGTATTTTTATGTTCAAGCTTATTTTTTTTCACATTCTGTTCATGTCTTCTTGCAGGACTGGAGAGAGACAAATTTGATAACAAGACAGTTTCATTTGAAGAGCATATAAAGTCAGAACACAACATGTGGCATTATTTGTACTTCATAGTTCTTGTCAAAGTTAAAGATCCAACTGAATACACTGGTCCTGAGAGCTACGTGGCACAAATGATTGTGGTAAGTCAATTTGGGCATGTGTTTTGTGCAACCGAGAGATGTTTCTTGCAGATAGAGCAGAGCATACCTTTCTTTTCCCCTCTTTCTTAACAATAGGAGGCATCGATCTGTATTTTTAAAGATCTTTTCACGTGTCCTAGGCAGTCTGCAACAAAGCTCCAGTCTTAAACGTAATGAAAAAGATGAAGGCTCAGACCACAGTCTCTACTTTGGCTTTCGTGCTCTCATGCTCTGTGGGTTCCTCTGCCTCATTAGCCAAACCAGAGTCAGAAGAGCATGCATCACAACATCTGCTACTGCTGCTGCTTTGTATTTTTAAAGATCTTTTCACGTGTCCTAGGCAGTCTGCAACAAAGCTCCAGTCTTAAACGTAATGAAAAAGATGAAGGCTCAGACCACAGTCTCTACTTTGGCTTTCGTGCTCTCATGCTCTGTGGGTTCCTCTGCCTCATTAGCCAAACCAGAGTCAGAAGAGCATGCATCACAACATCTGCTACTGCTGCTGCTTTGTCCAGTATCTCTGGGCTGCCGGCCAGAAAAATAATAACTCCTGTTCAGGGTCAGAGCGGAGGGCTAGCGCTTTCTCCTACTTACTGCTCTGAGCAAACTAGTGAAAAGCCCAAGAGCTGCTGCAGAGGTTTGAAAAGCTACAGAAACTGCACCGTGAGGTAGTGAGAGTATGACTTGGGAGCCAGAGGGGCAAATTTGATGACACTGGGGCAGAGATATGTTCAGTTGCATCTCAGTTCCTGTCCGCTATCTAAGAGGGTTCGTTCCAGAGAGAGAGAAGGACAGGTTATCAGTGCCACCCTGTTTTGGGGTTCATTTTTGAGGAACTGCGAAGCATCCCCATGAAGAGCAATGTTCAAGGCATCTGCTTTTCCTGTCTGTTGTGGTGTTCTGGGGCAGTGTTTCGTTCCGCAGCATTTCCTGGCAGGCAGAGCCTTGCCAAGGGCCTGGGTCAGGTGTGTGGTCATGGAGCTGGCATGTGTGACTCCCAGAGGAGTCCGTAGCCAAAGCACACCAGGCTTTGTTGTTTATGCCTTTCTGGGACCTCATTTCTTACGCCCTGTTATCCTTCATCAGGCTTTTGATTATATATTCAACCCAGTCTCACTGGTGAATTTTTGGGGGCCTTTTTAGTCCTCTCTCTGTCCAAGGTGAGGATTATTCTCCATTAATGTCAGCTATCTAAAATGTAAGCTCATGGTTTAAAAAGATCCCAACTCCCTTCCCCGTTGATGCAGATAGCTGGGTTATTTATCCTGCCTGGAGAAGGGTGTCTAGGGCAGCCGGGCACTGCCTTTCTCACTCCATTGAGAACCTAAATGATTAGTTTAGACAAGATGCCTAATTAGCAGTTGGCTAACGCTCCATGAGATGTCTCCTGCTGCACAGGCCGGCACAGCGTTTTCCTTGGAAAGCTCCCGTCAGCAGCGTGTGTTTGGCCAGGAGCGCCTGCTCGGGCGCCCTGCGGAGATGGAGCTCAGGTACGCGCTGCTGCGGCGCGCACGGGTGCCGGGGCACAGCAAGGGGGTTAGGACCTGGTGCAGAGCCTGGGCTGGGGAAGCGCTGGCTCGTCAGCCCCGCTGGGCCAGTTGTGCCCCTGCGCAGTCGTGGACCTGCGCTTCCACAGCACCATAGGAGAGAGAGGGAAACGTGGGAAACTTGTATCCGTTATTCCCTTGCAAGAAGTTATTCGGACATACTGTCAAGCTGCCCCTTAATACATGAGAATATTTCTAGCTCAGCTCAGAAATGCTCTTTAATTCACCTAATCAACAGTATCTCTAGACTGGAGAGACATTGTACTCGGTCTGTTCCTTCTCTGCTTTCTTCCTCTGTTCCCCATAATATTGTATAATTTTAATTTTGAAAGTATACACTGAAGTACTAATATTTATTCCAAGTTGTTTATCAATATTAAGGTAAGTGTATTCATCCCATGAATGGTTGGTATTTTCTGAGGCAGTTCATTAATATATTGTATGCTGGCATTAATGGTGGTAACTCCTGTTTGAATATGTAGCTGTTACCAAAAAAAGCACCTAAGCAAGTGTGACCTCAAGAGCTGAAATGATTTCCTAAAGTCCCTCCTGCTCTGTGGCAGAATGCTCGTAGCTTATGTGGTTAGTAAGAATGAACATTTTGGAAATATTGTTCCATTTTGAAGCTGGGCTTGTTTGTTTGTTTTCTCATGGGGATATTGGAATGCAAACATTGGTTCAGGATGGTGGGAGATGTGTATATGAATCTAGAAGTGGAATGTAAAGCTTACAGGGAGTGGAAAAGAGCAGAGGATTGAAAAAAAAAAAAAAAGGAGGAGAAACAAATGTTTGAGCAAACTGCAGGTGGCTGGTGTGGGATAAGCAGCTGTATCTTTGTGTGGTTTAAATTCCCGAGTACAAAATCTAGGGAAAGTGTGCTGCAGAAATACCAATTCTGTGAAGCAGAAGCAATTGGAACTGCTTAAGTGAATAAAAGAGACTTTTTCTCTTGGAGCCAGCGAGATTACTGGATACCACATGGTGCAAGGAATATAAAGACATGAAAAAGAGATCTGATTAGAAGAATGGAGTGTTCTGGAGGAATGGTATCCAACTGGAAAGGTGCAGAAATGCAGCTTTGCTCAGTGACCAAAAGGAGAGTGAAGAGGAAACACTCAAGAGCAGGTTTTAGATCTGTCAGCAGCAGGTGCTGATGCTTCTCATGTGTTTATTGTGCTTCAAAAGCAGGGTGGCAATTAGGAAATTATATTGCAAGTGTGTGAGATGTTCTGCATCCCTTGTGGCAGCTAAGCATGAGATCCAATTTTTGTCCTGAAGGCAAAGAAGGAACCTGATTAAGACTTTGTGACCTACTGAAAGGTGAACAACCTCCGTTGCTGTTTTTGGAAAGGTGATAGAGTCTCTGATTAGTGACTAGATTGGGATTAGGGTCTGGGAGAAGACAGGCAGACTCTGAATCAACCTTTGCCAGTGGAAGTGCCTCATTACCAAGTGCAGCTGGCTGGGTGACAACAGAGAGGTGACAGCAGAGCACAGCCGGGAATCCAGAGTGCAGAGGGAAGAGGCTCAAGGCAGAGGGAAAGGCAGCATTCGAAGTCAGGGGTGAGAAGGGGACATGGAGTTGCCTCTGCAGAATCAGACCAGATAAGATAGCGCCCAACATGTAGGAAAAGATGAAAGAAATGCAGTGGATGACAGTACTCAGCAGGATCTGGATATATATTGATTCCAGTTGATAGATTGGATATCATTAGAGGTGATGAAGCACAACAAAATTTCGGTCTCATTTATAAAGTGTGCTGATTGGACGAACATGACAGTTTGAGGGCCTTTTTGAAGGAAACAAGAATGTGATTTTATATTTAAGGTAGCTCAGAATATGACTGAAAAAGCTCCGTGAATCATGCTCCTGGAAAGGCTGCCTGAGCTCTACTGCTATGGCTACTATATAGCTACTATACTATGAGCTCTAGTGTAGTTTTTATTATAATTAGGTTTGCATTTTATGGCTGTTGCTTGTTTTTTAATGGATCAGCCTCAAATTCTGAGTTTTTACAACCAGGATACTTTGAGAAAATTTATACTCAAATCCAACCTGCAGTGCTCAGGCCCATCCTTAAAAACACATAGGTCAAAATGTTGGAGTATCCTGCAGTAACTTCACTAATAGGAAGTGGAGTTTAGCTCCATATGGAAGTATCATCCTCCTTCTCTGCCTCTGCTGCCATAATTAGGAACCAGTTGTTATTTGTACTTGCCTAGTGCTACTAAGTATTGCAAAGCACCGCATCGGAGTAATTAGCAGTACTATCTAAGCCTACAATTTCAGGTATCGTCTCTTTTCTGCATTAGCCCAGACCACCAGGACTCCGAAATGTGATGGTCTGTGACAGGACTCTGAGCCTCCCATTTCTATCAGTTGTCCAACAAGTGGTGAAGCACGTGGAGGTTTGGCGACAGCACTGCTGGAAAAGCGAAAGCTGTGGTTTTCTGGCTTTGGAAGAGTATTGGAAAGGCTGGGTGTTGAAAAGGACAGGGATTGTTTTCCCATCCAATTTCTCTTTTCTAGTTTCCCAGTTTCAGAAGGGAGGGGGCAAGAAACTCCCAGGTGGTCCTTTAAACTACCCTCGCACCAAGGCAGTGCCCGTGCAGGTTGTCGAGTTCATTCCAATTTCTGATCCAGGAGTGGCTGGTTTCAAGGCATCTCTCCTAGCTTGCCTATGTCTAGCCTCTATAAACACCTCAGGGCAGGGTTCCTTTTTTGCCTTCTTCCTCTGGACTACAGACTGTAGAGTTCTGATATTCCCGTGGGTTTTTCCCAGCGGCTCTGCATTTGTTTCAGTGCTGAGCAGTGACAGAAGTAATCCGAAGTATCCAGCTTTCATAAAGCAAAGTACTTTTTTTTTTTTTTTTAAAGAAGAAGGTGTCATGCATAAAACATGTGGCAAATCAACACACTGTCTGTATATGTCTGGCTCTTTTGAGAGATGCTGTACAGAGATGCTGGTAGGAATAAAGCACTTCAGATTCTTTGGTGATGCCCATTCTGCTTGCACACTGCCTTGTATATTAGTTCTTGGGTGAAATGTTAATGAATATTAAATCAGGGTAGGGGGTTTTATTGTTTGTTTGTTATCCAGGCCCCTTTGTTGAAGCCAGACAGGTATAATACTACATCCCAAAAGACTGAAACTTTGAAAAGCTGGATACATGGTTGCATTTGCACTGAGAAATTGCATGAATGAGTTCCCTATTGAATTTTCATTCTTGCAGGAAAAAATTCTTCTTCAACCCATTTGACCAGCAATACCGTCACTAGCAAACCCATAGAGATGCACATAACTTGTATTACATCAATACAGCAATCTCTGAACACTCCTTTTATCCGTTTGCCAGAGGAGACAGTTTAATGTGATAACTGGAACAGTGGAGGTTATTGTCCAAATTTTCAGACTTCTCTTTTCAGAGGTGCAATTTATACATGCAGGTTTC